CAACACCAAGTGACGATTATCTGAACCGGGTCCTGAGGATCCCCCTAGGTCGACTCAGCCTCATACCTGGTGCGGTGTGTAAGACATCGCCACTGGGGAGACAAAGGACGGGGTGCTGGCCAACCACCCCCTCCATAATAGAGGTTTGTTGGGTTAGATCGCGTAAATATATAAATGTGTCGTTAAACCCCGCCACCACCCGACACAGCCAACTAGTAAGGGTTGTCACGTAAACAGAACGTGGCCAATTCGTCACTAGTACAGCACACCGGTGTGTTGGAGAGCCAAGCTACAACATTTACCAACTGAGTACGACGTTTCGCCAGTAATTACATCTAGCTTCATCAGGACGAATGATCAGCACGAGACTAAAAGAACATCAGATAAATATTAAATTCTCTCAAATGCAACTGTCAGCAGTAGCAGAACACGCGTGCCAACAAGGACACTCAATTGATTTTGATAATGTTGAAGTTCTGTGCAAAACCAGCGACTACTGGTCAAGACTAATTATAGAATCTATTGAAATTGAAAGAAATCAAAATAACTTTAACCGTTTGGATAGCTACCGCCTTAGTGCTGCATGGAAGCGAATAATTCAATAATGCATTATTTAAATGCATGCCTACAAAGGGCAGCGTGCTTCAATAAGGGTTACCGTTGGTAGGGCTATTTTACTAAACACAATAGACAGGAAGGACAAGTTCAAAGGGCTCGCATAATGCACATGCATAATGTACGTTCTCTCAGTAATCCCCCCCCCCCCCATCATTGCGCAAGAGCGCAGAAGCGTGGTCACCACATCTACGCCTCCTCTATGTAAGGAACGAAACAGGTGGACTTCTCAACAAATCTGGCTGTCGCCTGATGAAGCTGGTTGTTATTACTGGCGAAACGTCGTAATCAGTTTGTAAATGTTGTGGCTTGGCCCTTCAACACACCGGTGTGCTGTACTAGTGACGAATTGGCCACGTTCTGTTTACCCTTACTAGTTGGCTGTGTCGGGTGGTGGCGGGTTTCAACGACACATTGATATATTTACGCGATCTAACCCAAAAACCTCTATTATGGATGATATTGGTCACGAAAGCCTCCCACGTGTTAAACCACCCCCTCGTGTGCCATGCCGGCCTTCATAGGTGCTCGCTAACTGCACTTGCCCCAACAGTCTGTCAAGGCTATACGGGGGATCTTTGTCTTTATTTGGTGTGTTTGTAGCCATTTGCTGAGACAGGCTGAGACCATCAACTCGCTACCATTGAGAGATCCGGTTTAACCAATCACAGCTGGCCAATTGTACTCGGATTTGAATCTCAGGATCTCCGTGGTGGTGGCTCTGAGACCCATGTGTGTTATGTTGAGTACAACAATGGGGAGACTTCACCGCGTTCCAGACGGGTTGAATGAAAGTTCACTCGGTTGGCTAGGACACGTCGAGAGAAGTAGGGAACACCACATCGGAAGGAACGTGATGGACGTGGAAGCAACAGAGTGGAGACCGATAGGCAAAACAAACATACTCTTACCTCTCTGGCCTATGCGTTGTGAAGAAGGGTCATTGCCCGAAACGTCACCTATTATATATTTTGTTATTTTTAAAGCTACAGTGTTATTGACGAATGTGTTCAGTTTTTGTTGTTAATTGGTGCTTGTGCGTCACTGCCAACGCAGCAGCAACAGCATCACCAAATGATTTGTTAAATTCGAAAGCCGTGGTTCGAAGTGGTAAACCAGGATGTGAAGAACCGCGGGGTAGATGTGGGGGTTGATGACCTCCACACCAGCGGGACCCATGCCAGGAGGAGGAGGAAGAAGAAAAACACCCCTGTCTCGTGAAAAAAAAGTGGAAAATTTTCGTTCCATGGAATTGTTTAATTATTATCGTTTATTCATTCATTAAACAAATTACACTATTTACACATCGCTTACATCAGAATGGATTTCGCGAACACTGCGTCATTGGCGTGAACTGTCACCCCTTGTCAGCGTGTATTTACACGTGGGTAGGCAGTACATCTGTGGCTGCGTTCTAGATACAGAGCTTTGTTTAGTGAGGTTTATATTGTTGTTGTTGCTACTCGCAGCCTGGCAGTAGGAAAAAGTTCCCCAGCTGCGATATTTACTCAGAGAACCCCCGGCATAATCCCCTAGCCGCTCGCGCAACGATTAAAGCCGCACGCAACACACTCGGACGGAACTCAAAGCACCTTTCAACGACATCATTAGCCTTGGTCTATCCACTGCTGGTTGAAAGGCCCTCGCCAAGCCGTCGCCGCCTCTCACGGCCTCGCGATGCAACCAACCCATCCGTGCCGGATTTCTCCTGCCCGGGTGTGTGTTTCCCCAGTTTGGCTGTCACTCCGTGATTAGTCTCGGCCATCGCCTCTTCGAGTGACCGTAACCTGCCCGAGCCCACATACTTTTGATGTATAATGTTGTTCACTTTGCCAATACCAATGACCTCTCTATATAAAAATGGGCTTAAGTACGTGCAAAAGCCAGGCAATTGCTCATTGCGGACCTCTATGAAATTCACATACTTGGGGATTTTTTTTTACTTAAAACTTTTGTGACTGCAGGAATTCATATTCTTGGTTCTTTCGGTAAAGTCACGTAAATAGAAAAGAAATAATAACATAAAAACCCCCACGGCGTTTCTATCGCAACACAAGCGGTCTTCATCAGGCGGAGAGATGAAGACCGCTTGTGTTGCGATCGAAACGTCGTGGGTTTTTTGCTTTCATTTTATTTTTGGGGATGGTGATGATTAACAGCCACGGCGTATTGTATACCTCGCCACATTCCCCATGATCAACTTCAAACATCATGAAATGCACTGTGAATGCAGACACATGTGGAACTTAGCACAGGCTAAGTGCTCTAAACGTCGCATTGATTCTTCCGTTGTATTCGCTGCAGGGCAGGTCGGTAGGTATTAGTCAGTCAGTCAATTTCTGTCGCCAGCTCTCGAGTCCTGAAGCTGTCTGTAGATCCTCGCTTTGTCTTCGGCCCAGCGATGAGGATTGGAAGGCAGTCAGCACCTGGTGGAATGATCATCCTTGCTTGTGGCCTCTGCTGAGTGAGCTATGCTGTGCGTCCTATTGATTTGGCGTTAATTTCTCGCATGCACGAAAATTATAACTTTGGCTACTCTGTTGAGGTAATTTTTTTCCACTTGTTCGCTCGCGAATCGTTATTTCCAGAGCTTCATTTCTCACCGATTATAATTGGGCCACTGATAGACTGGAGTAGGTGGCACGTGACCAGCAGGCACAGCCATCAGCGAAAGGAATACTTGATGTGGTGAAGCCGGGTGTGGAAATAATTTGCGGGTCACTGGTTTAGAGATGCTCCGGCTGAAATTAATCCCTGATTATTTACTCTCGACGTACAATCATCAAGACGTTAATTTTCAACAAAAATCAAACATTAAATAATTTTATGCTATCATTATCGGTGGGACTCGGCAAGTCGTACGAATGAGACGCCCGCTCGGTGAACTTGGCTCTTTATCCCAACAACCCCCCCCCCCCCGCGCTGAATGACACCTTTTTCTTCGTAGGCGGAGACGGGAGGTAACTTTTGTTCCGGGGCTTTGTTCGCTCGGTCCGGTTTGTCCAGACGTCCGTGTCAGCGTTCGCTCTCGAGCACGTGAACTCTGATCGCTGTGAAGCTTCAGCCCGCGCGTGCGCGCTCCGATTTAATAAACAATAACCCCCCCCCCCCCCCCCCCCCCAACGTTTCGGCACGTAACCGTGTTGGTTTAGCGCTCGTAAAAAAAAAAAGAAAATCCTCCGTTATTGTCCTGTGTGAGATTTCGCCACCGCCACCACCACCATGATCATCATCACCGTCATCGTCACCGCCGCCTCGTGAGATGAAGCGGCTTTTAGCGCCGACCCCAAAGGGCCTTGGGCACCATCCCGTGAAGCCAAATCACCGTTGGCGAGCCGTCTGCAACCTCAACCATTGGCTTCACACTCACGGATTCATGTCTTGACGATGATGACGACGACGACGATGATGATGACACGAATGCAGCACGTTGTTATCATCGTCCCCTGTAGTCCATCGATGAGAAAGTTTGTCAAATTAATTAAATGACAGGGAACCTTCGTCACAATGCTGGGAAATGGGCACGGTGTTTTGCAGATGCCGCTCCTCGAATTCATTTATATTTTTTTCGTATTATATTAGCGTCGATGATATTCATATTGTGCTATCAGCGTTGTGTCGCGAGCAGAAGGAATGTTCGTTTGGCAGAGCCCCGCGTCTTGCCGTGTGTCAGGGAAGGGCCCTCTAGGTGGCTCAGCTAAAGAGTGGTTCCCCATGTCCCAGTCATCTGAAATATATTTTATTTTAGTTTTTAAATTTCTGGCTCGCACAAGCTTTTAAAGTGGACAAAAAATAATCGTGTTTCGCAGTCAACCTGTTAAACGTTAAAACTCTTTCTAGTATAGCTGCCTGTATTTGAAGCCAGGATTCCCACAGTACAGGCGGTGTGCTCTGACATGACCATTATGACCACCCAAGAGAAAATGACACCAAACCTCAGACCTAAACCCGCAATCTCAGCAATACTGACTTAGTTCTAGGACATGGCCATTATGAGCCACTTGGGAGAACATCACCCAAAGGACCTCTGCAGTACTGACTTAGCTCTTGGAACACCGCCACTATGAATCACCCAAGATAGAGAGACACTCATACACACCTAGACATGAATCCAACATCTCAGAGCAGTACCAGCTCAGTGTTCCGACACGGCCACCCGTGTCACCATGCCCACACAGGATTTAACGTCTTATTATCTCCCACAGAGCGGTCTCTGTGGGCAAAAAGAGAGGTGTCGCCCGTCGACACTGGTGGTGCCCAAGTAATCTAAACGACTGTCGGCGCAAGCCTCCGTGAGTCTTCCCGAGTCTCTGCGAGTCTTCCCGAGTCTCCGCGAGTCTTCCCCGCGGGTCTCCGCGGGTCTCCGCGAGTCTATGCGAGTCTTCCCAAGTCTGCTCGAGTCTTTCCCGAGTCTCTGCGAGTCTTTCCCGTGTCTCCGCGAGTCTTCCCAAGTCTGCTCGAGTCCTTCCCGGGTCTCCGCGAGCCTTCCCCGAGTCTCCGCGAGTCTTCCCCCCGGGTCTACGCGAGTCAGATGAGCCGCGACCTGCCGAGGTAGCGTGCGAGCACGCGGTACACGAACTTGTAGTGCTCGAGCGTGGGCACCAGGTGAGGCCGCTGCTGCCTCAGGGCGCCGAGCACTTGCGGGACGTCGGCGTTCTGGGTGTGAGGGGGTGGTGCGCACGGGGGCGAGCGGATGGAGGAGCACAAGAAAATAACAACAAATGAACGAGAATAAACGGCGAGGAGTTTGTGTGCAATGTGGACACGCGCTGCCCTTTTGCCGGTCCGCCGCTGGATTTAGGCCTCGCCATGCACCGTGTCAGTCAAGGGGGTTGCTTCACCAAACTTCACCACATGTCTCAGCGCGGGTTGGTGAAGAGGGCAGCCCAGTTCCAGTTAAGAAAACACTCACCATTTATCGAAGATTTCATTAATACACCAACGATGATGGTGATAATGCTGCTGCGCAATTTTTGGACTCCACTTAGACTGGTGGGGGCTGCAAGCACTCTGACTGCCTGAGAAAGCACTGATGATGAAGCCACCGTCAGCGCATTCCAGTCTATGGGCTTCTATGTGAGTCTATGGGCTTCTCTGTGAGTCTGTGGTTCTCTGTGTGAGTCTATATGCCTATGTGAGTCGGTGGGTCTCTGTGTGAGTCGATGGGTCTCTGTGTGAGTCTGTGGGTCTCTATGCGAGTCTATGGGCCTCTGTGAGTCCATGGGCATCAGTTTTAGTCTGTGGGTCTCTGTGTGAGTCGATGGGTCTCTGTGTGAGTCTGTGGGTCTCTATGCGAGTCTATGGGCCTCTATGTGAGAAAGTGCTGATGACGAAGCCAATGGTAACGCATTCCAGCCTCTCAACAAATCCACCTGCACCTGAGACCGGAAAAACTTAGAGTGGAGTTTTGTAGCCTCCGCAACCTGGAGCCACGGTGAGCCTCAGCTGCTTATAATCGCACATCTAAACATGACAAACGATGAGCGAACTTACCTGTCGTGCGAAGATTAATCTTGCAAAGCGTTTTGTGATGTATGCCCCTTTTGTAATTATTTTTTTGTTGATAGTGGTGGTTGCCTATACCTGCCACTCTTAAAAAAACACACGATTTGAAGAATGCATTTTGTGGAATTTCACAACTGTTTAGTTTTTGGTTATTTATTTGCGTTGCCTGCCTATTTCGAATGAGAAGAATGCGTTTGGATTTCCTCATTCGTAAAGGGGGGGCGGGAAAAAAACCCAGCCCGTGTGTGTACCGATTGCGCAAAACTCGGAGACATTTCCCTTTTAGCCAGGATAGATCGCCTCCGAGTGCTGTTAGCGAGCACCCCTTTGTCCGTGTCGGTGCTTTGTAAAAAAAATATATTACATCCTGGAAACTTTACCTGCCCAGGGATTGTTTTCACAGATGCGGCGAACAATTAAGACTGAAAAATAAAATAAAAAATGTTTCGTCTGTTTCCCAAACGTATTGAAAATTGTGCCAACAGAGCCACGTTATGAGATGAAGTGTCCACTCGCATTTCACGCGAGAATGGGCCGTGGAAGGGAATGTCATAGAACTACTTCTGAGATTCCTCCGAGTGAACTCTTTAGCCACACGACGAGTGGGTAGGGGGGGGGGCACTTTCCCACGTGCCCTGCAACAGAGAAAAATGTTTGCCACATGGAAGTTAAAGAACATCTATATTAATCCTCGATGCAGGAATTTAGCCAAATTGATTAACAAACCAAACTTGTTGCGATTTATTTATTGTGCAATCATTGGTAAACAGGCTAAGACAATCCGCTCGCTACCCTCAATAACTCGGTGTAATCATCGGTGGCTGAAACCCAGATTCACACCCAGAATAGTCAGCGGCGCAGGTTCAGTGCCCCGACTCCTGAGCCACCCGGCCACCTCGCTCATGCTCTCCATCAGTCCGAGTGGCCGGGGGAATGCTCGTGGGAGAACGGCCACCGTGGGGAGGAGAGCGACCGAGTCAGCACGCCCGCAAGAGATAAATTGCATCGCGGGACCGTGAGAGATGGTGACGGCACGGGGAGCCCTTCATCTAACAAGTCAAGGTGATAATGATGATTCTGATGCTGCTGCTGATGCTGCTGCTGCCGATGATGCTGCTGCTGATGATGTTGCTGATGCTGATGATTATGCTGCTGATGATGCTGCTGATGCTGATGATGCTGCTGATGCTGCTGATGATGATGATGCTGCTGCTGATGTTGCTGCTGCTGATACTGATGCTGCTGCTGCGGCGGATGATGATGACGACGACGACGACGATGATGATGCTGTTGTTGATGATGGACTGACCACGTTCTGCTCCAGGCAGGCGACCATGAGCTCTGAGAGGATGAGGACCCCTGTAGGGCCGTCGTCGCCGCCGGCGCAGTGCACCAGCGTGGGCGGCAGGGGCGTCCTCGGAGGCAGCATACTGCCCGTCAACCTGCGCACCGACTGTAGCTCCTGCAGGAACTCTGCACGTGGCGGGGTGGTGGTGGGGGGGGGGACGAAGTGTCCCGCCGGCGATGATTAATAACACGACTCAAAATGTCGAGCTGATGACATTGTCGGCTGGGGAAATGCACAGAGGGTTTATCGGACGGGGCGAGATCGAGCGGTGAAATAAACTCGCGTGCGGGATCTAGGTGGATCGTTATCGTCGCGGAGATCGTGAAGAGGTCAGAATTATACTGGAGGAATCCGATGAGCTATGAAGCTAGTTTTCACAGATGTCCAGTAGGGGTTGGTCAGAACGTTACAACAAGGAACACTACAAAAGCACGTCAGAAGTGCAAATTATAGGAAGTGTAAAAATATATTTAAAAAAAAAACTAAATAAAACTAAATTATTTTTTTGTTTTACCAGATAAAGCCCACTGAGCTATTAGCTTCTTTTTGCAGAAGCAAACCTGGCCACAAATGATAGCTCCACGTGGATCGTCATGTGTGGACAGCTTGAGGAGACCTCCATCGTCAGCAGCTTGGCGGGCGCACGCACTCGCTCTGCTCGCCGTCGTCGTGGCATTTAGATTGACGGGATTTTCGTCCACAGCGCACGGTTTGGTAGCTGGTGTTATCGAGAATATCCGTTCGTCCAGAATAATTGTTCCCCTAGGAATGATTATTATTCATACCCGCCCCAAGAACTGATATTTGGGAATATCGGTTCCCTCTCGGAAAATTTGTCTCCTCTAATTTTTTTTGGGGGGGGGGGGGGTGGAGGGGGGAGTTTGTAACAAAGTGAGCTCCGTTTAAGATTGAAAGTGGCAACTCATGTCTGAAAACGGTTCGACAAAATACGCCCGCGCCTTTGACGAGGGCGCGAAGCCTCGTTGTGACGTGGCGCTGCGTTCCCGACCCACGAACCGTCCAGCGGCCAACGTCGAGGGTTTTGGCCAATCCCATCCGCTTGCGATTGCTCAAGAGGGGCAACTGCGTCTGGCCCATTCACCGCTCTCTTGACGTCACTAAAGTCTACACGAGGAGCTCTGTGTTCGAGAGGGCGGGGGGGGGGGGTGGTGAGGCCCCCCACCTCCGCGGCAATTTTTCTAAAATGAATGCGGTTGACAACTCTGCTCCGGCACGTAAATAAATAAATAATATTTGCCAAACATATCGCCGCCGCCGCCGCAGCTGTCCACCGGCCAAAGTCACAAAACGACGGCGCGCGCCCGCCACAGCATCATCAATCTTCGTTTATCGCCGAATTCATCGGCGCTGCGAAAATAATACGCCTCAACCACGCCGGTCACGTCATCGCTATCAGTCGCCCCGTCGCCTCGTGCCGCGGCGTAGAACCACCCTCACCCCACGGTACTCTTCACGACTCTTCTCCGAGTCCTCCCCCAGTCCCGCTCGCTTGTTAACATCACCTGCCACCCCCCACCCCTCCAACCACCGCCTCCTCGGTCTTGCTCGGGAACTCCAACTTGGTGAACACGTGGGTGGGCTCCCTTTGAGGCTCCGTTTGCAACGCAGAGCAATTTCACTTAGGGATTCTGCGCGCTGCCGGCTACACAAAAACGTCTCTCGCCCAGAGTCGATCCGTCCCTGGGTGAATTGCTCACTCCTCGAGAAGCAGCTGCCGCAGGGCGAGCGGCGAGCATGAACACGGCCAATCCCAGCCCGATCCCGGCCATGGTTTAACATCAGCGGCGAGTGATATCTCAACGTGTCCATCAATTTGTTAACCCATATTGACCGGCGTGGTGAAGTATGGTTGAACAACCCCGACAACCAACAAGGAGTAAGGGGGATCTTCATCCAGCAGTGGATTGACGAATAACTGTTTAATGATTGCTAGAGCAGAAGCACACACCCTGGGAACAAGCGCACGTGCGCTTATATCTGAAGTGTGCTGACATCAGAAGCTTCCCTGCGCATCCCCTCCCCCACCGCCAGCGCCGTGTACGCGTGTGTTGCTTATATGAGAGCTGTGCTTATATCAGGCGTGCTTACATCCAGACTGCGCATATGCCCCCTATTCGCAGCGTCCGCAAGGTCGGACATCACCGTCACCGCCGGCCATGATTAATCCGCTGCTGGATGAAGGCCTTCCCCCACAGCCACGATGCCACAGACGTCACTCACCCAGAAACCTCTCCGCTCCATTGTTGTCGTCGTCGCCGCCGTCGTCGGCGTCGCCGGCATCGCTGCCGCGGCTCCACTCGGGGTGGTGGAGGTGCCACAAGTTGCGCTCTCTCCCCGAGGGCGCGTGCGTCACGCGCAGACCCGTGGTTGCGCAGCCGCCCGCCGCCGTGGTGCCCCTGAAGGTGGCGTGTACCGCCAGGTCCCCGTACACGCACGGGCGCTGCCGCGAGCCCAGTCGCGGCCAGTAGCGCTGCGGCTTCGCCTCCCCGGCGACCTGCGGTGGAACCGCGTGGCGCATTCGGTCAAGGTGGCAATCGCAGCCGTTGTTGTTTTTGTTGTATTAGTGCTGCAGTCTTTGAGTCGGTGGCGGCTCGTGACATTTTCCACCAGGTGGGGCTGTTGCGAGTGACCTCTGATAAGGTGTTCTAATTCAGAAAAAAAACCTCGTCGTGTTATTGGCCTTCCTGTGAAAGTGATGTAAATGTCTTATCTACCAACGGTGGGGCGTTTAGTAACAATACGAAACAAAACAACAAAGCGCTCAAATGCTGTCCCCATGACCCTTAAGTCCACATTACACAACCCGATTTAAAGCTTTCGTGACTGCAAGGATTAATCTTCTTTGGTTCTTTCGGTAAAGTCACGTAGAATGAGAATAAAGTAATAAATTAATAAAATAAAATAACAATAAAATTATCACGAAGAAGAAGAAGGCCGCTTGTGTTGTGGCCGAAACATCGTGAGAATCTTATTGTGTTATTTTATTTTATTAATTTATTATTTTATTCTCATTCTACGTGACTTTACCGAAAGAACCAAAGAAGATTACACAACCCCTTTCACACTGCCAAAAGCCTGGCGCGTGTAGGCCGTGAGCTGCTCTATTTGCACGGTGCCACCCAGCGTTGTGGCGTCGTCTCTCATCACAGCCACGGGCGCCTTTTTCACCACCCTGAAATGGGTCTCAAACGGCGTGGGTAAAATGCGAAGCTCATCGCAAGGAATGAAGGGAATTGTCTCACTCGGACGCCTTCACAGCCGCCCCGAGACCTCCCCAAGGCACAAATCAGACTGTGGCGTTGCAGCGGTTTCAAGTATGAACGACTTAAAATTGTATCTTCACGTTGAAATAATCATCACATTAACTAGTGGACGAACCGCGCCCGATTTGAATCGGCGCCCTCGTTGTCTTTAATCAACAGGGAAGTTCAAACACCGTTAGGCGCCGCGCCTTTCCTTCTTAGGAGCCGCCCCTGCTTATTTTTATTCCTATTTTGTTTATTGAGTCTCAATACTCTTTGCCAGGAGGGTCCTGCCAAGTGTTTTGCAGTCGAGGAGGGCGATGTTGCTGCTGTGTAATTCCGATCGAATAACGTGCAGGTAAAACACAACACAAATATCAGCGTTGTGGAATGTATTGGCTGAGACCGGTTGTTAAATTGTGTGCTCCTTACTGTAACTTTGGTTCTTTCGGTAAAGTCACGTAGATAGAAAATTAAGAGATCACGACGTTTCGATGGCAACACAAGCTACCGTCATCAGGTGAGACAAACACAGCTGACATAGGAGAAAGCCGCTGCAACAAGAATTTATATATATGGGATCTATTAATTTTCCATCTTCGTGACTTTACCGAAAGAACCAAGAACTATGGATTCCTACAGTCACGAAAAGCTTCAAATCAAGATCGTGTGCTCTTGTTAGCTGCGGGAGTAAAGTGTCAAACCCCCGGATGAAACGCATGCAGAACAGGGACGGTGGGGGGGGAAGAGAACTCCACAGAGAAAAGAAACACCCCAAAGTCTAAATTTAGATTTAAAGCTTTCGTGACTGCAGGGATTCATATTCTTGGTTCTTTCGGTAAAGTCACCACGTTAGAAGGGAAACAATAAAATAATACAAATATAAAAATATAAAACAATAAATTCTCACGACGTTTCGACTGCAACACAAGCAATCATGGTCAAGATGATGATCATCATGATGATTGCTTGTGTTGAAATAATCATCATATTGTTATATAGTTTAATTTTTTTATTGTTTCACCTTTTACGTGACTTTACCCCAAAGTCTGCCAACGAACGCGGTCACCGCCGAGCTCACCTGAACCGGCGTGAGAGCCGCGATGACGTTCACTCCGTGCTCCCACACCATGTGCCAGAAGTCGCTCTCCGTGTGCGGCTGGGGCCACTGGGTGGCGATGTAGTGCCACATCTCTCCGTTCACTCGCACCTGCGTGGCAAAAGCAATGAGCGGGCGAGAGGCGCGGGTTGCGGACGCGAGGTGGCGGGTGGGGACGTGGGGGCAGGCGTGGCGGTGAGAGCGCGCGCCGTGGCCGGCCTCCGCACAGGTGCTATTCGCTAAGAGCACAGGCACCGCACCAGAATGTTAACAGCGATACGGAGGGGCGGGCGGGAGATCTTAGTGAGAGAGGGGAGCGGCGGCGCTGGCTCTTAGCGCGCTGCTCTCTCGTTCAGTTTGAATTCCCACTCACGGTCAACGGCGATTGTCTGAAACCGGTGCTGGGCCATCATCCCCTAGGTAGACACGGCCTCAAATGAGTACAGTGCCCTGGTGTGATGTGTAAACACTGCCCGCTGGGGAGGAAAAGGCGGTCGTGCGTGATGCGTTTCGTTTCGACGTTCTGAATGTTTTCAGCGAATTCATGGTGAGCGTGCGCGTTTATTATCGTTGTGCGTGCGGGAGGAAAGCGGGGATAATCCACGCGCGTAAGGCAGCAACGCTCTATCCCCGTCCAGATGGCGATTAGTCCACTTGCTGTGACTTGCCTTCTGGCGAGCCAGGCGATGAAAACCTCTGAGACGGCCACCACGACATCTGTGTGTGATCCACCAACCCCTGGCTGGAGAGTAGAGTTGAGATGAGACGGGTGACGTAAGGATGAGAGTGAGTTCGTGGATGACCTTGGACATAGTAATGTTGAAGTGTAACCACTTTGGGGCGGTCCATAAATGACGTCACGCGATTTTGGACGATTTTTGACCCCCCCACCACCCCTCTCGTCACACGGCGTCACAAAAAGTCAGACCCCCCTTCAAATGTGACGTCACAAAGCTCTGCCCCCCCCACCCCCCCAAGATATAAAACATGCTTCAAATCGCTTTAAACTATTGTCATTGTAGTGCGTATTTAATGTGTCGCTGCACTCTGATGTTGTTGGATATTTTTATTTATTAAAAAGTCTATTTAATTAAGTAGAACGTGTTGTCTATATTTATTTAAAGTTGCGCATTTTTATGTGACGTCACATTTCTCACCCCCCCCCCCCCCTCGTCACACATCGTCACAAATGTCTGACACCCCCCTCCCTAGGTGCGTGACGTCATTTATGGACGGCCCCTTTAATGTTCGTTAATTACCCAGGCCACGACTATACACTGTAGTTGACATTCTGCAAAATCAAGTTATGTCAGATGATCTCTTGGGTGAAATTGGTATTTTAAGCTCACACACACACACGTGTATGTGTGTGTGAATTGTGTGTGTGTGTACTGTGAATGTATGTGCGGTGTGTGTACTGTGAATGTATGTGATGTGTGTGTACTGTGTGTATGTGATGTGTGTATACTGAGTGTGTGTGCTGTGTGTGTACTGTGTGTGTGATGTGTGTACTGTGTGTATGTGCTGTGTGTGTACTGTGTGCGTGTGTTGTGTGTGTACTGTGTGTGTGTCCCGTGCGTGTGTGATGTGTGTGTACTGTGAGTAAATATACTGTGTGTACTCTGAGTACTGTGAGTACTGTGTGCGTGCATGCAGTAATTCGTGCTCGGTTGCCACACGCCCGGTCACCTAGGTTCGATCCCTGCTCATGGATAACATCAGCGGCAAGTGGTTTATGAACCTATAAAAATGTCTCCTCCGAGTTAACTTAATTGACGAGCTACCTGGTGTGGGTTTTAAACGTCAGTGCTGGGAAGACGACGTCGGCCTGCCTTATTATGTTGACCAGACCCCAATCCCCCCCCTCCCCACCTCGTGCAGCTTAGCAGCCTCAACAGGTGCTCACTAACAGCGAATCTCCTTCACGCTCCACAAGTCTACGTGGGGGTTGGGGGGGGGAGTCTTCGCATGAAGGGTATGTGTGCGGAGCAGCAGCAGTGGTTAGCTGTGCCATTTTGAACGAACTCCCTCTGACCAAATATTAATTAAGCCTCCAACAAATTCACCTTCCGTTGCGACGCCAATCGACTGCAGCGTTGACGAGAATCGCCGTCCCGTCCACCTCGGCCAGGAAACGATACCGAACGAACCAAAGAGTATGGAAATGTGACATGTCTTTTTTTTGTATGATTAAAAAAAAGATGTGGCGGCGGTGGGGCAAAATGTGGGCAGCCACACCCAGCGCCGTGATATTTAATAGGCACGGTACAGCACAGCTGTCAACCCCTTATCAGTGCCCTCCCTACCTTATTAGAGACAAATTCAGACCTTATTGGTCACCCCGTGCCCCTGAAACATCTCAACGTTCATCCTACAAAGTCCCAATCTCAAGGAAGAAACAAACAAATACACTAAACGTAGAGATTTTTGCCGGTATTGAAACGGCTGTACGCCGTATGGGCCTGCAAAACTCAATTTCCCTGTCTAAGAATACGGACGGGTAAGTCGTATGGACCTGCAAAACTCGATTCCCTGTCTATACGGACGGGTAAGTGGTATGGGCCTGCAAAACTCAATTTCCCTGTCTAAGAATACGGACGGGTAAGTCGTGTAGGTTGACAGCTGTGCAGTAGGCACTGTGCCTAGGGCCTACGAAAACTAAAAGGGGACTACGAAAAAGAAATGTTACATCTTTTTTTAGTATGATGAAAAATGTAACCAAGATATCTTATATTCTTGGTTCTTTCGGGAAAGTCACGTAGAAGGGAAACAATAAAATAAAAAAATATATAAAACAATAAAATTCTCACCTGATGATGATTGCTTGTGTTGCAGTCGAAACGTCGTGAGAATTTTATTCTTTTATATTTTTATTATTTTATTGTTTCCCTTCTACGTGACTTTACCGAAAGAACCAAGAATATGAATCCCTGCAGTCACGAAAGCTTTAAATCAAGATATCTTCTTGAATAAATAAATATATTTATACATAGCAAACATATATTTCCTGCCTCAGCAGCTCTCCCGACATATTTTTCACCTGATGACGATTGCTTGTGTTGCGATCGAAACGTTGTGATTTGTTTGATATTTTTTCTACCTACGTGACTTTACCGAAAAACCCAAAGAGTACAGCAAATATAGTCAGAGTGTTTATACAAAGAGGCAGAGTTACGTCAATGTCAGTGGGTTTTTGTTCATAAGGTGAGAGAAATTAACATCGGAGATTAACTTTTAGAGATTTTTTTTTGGTACCGTTCGCACGATCTCATTCCGAACAGTGATGCGAGTGTAGCAACATGAGGCAGCGGCAGTACCATCTCCAGAGAGTTATCGCTGAAGGCCTACGAAAGAGAATTGCCTAGGATCTACACGAACCTTCGTCGGGGCCCTCGCCACACCCCTTATACATAACTCGTTTGGACAGCATTGGAATGAGGCAAGTCGCCTATTGTGGCAACACTGATTCCCCTCGCCCCGTACATAAACCATACTCGTGCGTCTTGTACACTTAAAACGCTGGCACACCGTCGTCGCGAAATGTTTGGCTGCGCGCTGGTCTTGCAGTCCAGAGGTCGCCGGGTTCCATTCTATCTCCACGGCACGGCTGTTGAATGAACGGGGCAAGCTTTCTTGATTCCCTCCTCCGACTCTGCCCAACCGAGCGGTGGAAATGGGTTCCGCCGCAGCTGTAGGCATGTGTGTTGAACTTCTTCCGCACCAACCGTGCTAATCGCAGGTGCGGTGCGGAGAAAGGCCAACAAACTAAACACGTAAATCAGTTCTAAAGAAATTAGTTTTAAAATCGAGATGATTTAAAAGTGCATCGTTCCCGGTGGATTCCCAATATCGGAAGGAGGAGCGTTTCAGATGGCCGCAGGAGCGCATCTGAAAGCGCGCGATGCGGTGAGCGCGCTTTGTTCGATGGCAAGCCAGGAGCCGGCAGGTGATTTGTGGCGGGGTAAAGTGTGGGCACACTGCCGGCCCTTTCCGCCAGCAGTGGCGTGAAGAAGCACTTGCAGGCGTGCGCCTTTACCTTTTACCAAAAAACTTAACCGGATTAAACGTAGGCTGTAAAAGCTCATGGCACGTTTGAAATATTGTTCAGTGCGGATTGCCCTGTAAAATGTTTATTCGTGTATTATTCATATTTTCTCCAAAAATGTAAATTAATTATTTACAAGGGGCTGCATGAGCCTGCACGGCTTCTTGTCGCATCCTGTTAGCGTAGCGGCGGTGTCGGCTGCGTTGGTGCCCACTCACACGTCTGTGCCTCTCTATATGGTGTCACCCTTATGGGGAACGGTGGAGTAGCGGTCAGCGCGCTGTACTACAAACCCGGCGACCCGAGTTCGATTTCCGCTTATGGCCAACACCAAGTGACGATTACCTGAATCGGTCCTGGGCCTCCCCTAGGTTGACACAGCCTCAAATGCGTACCTGGTGTGTGGTGTCTAAACATCACCAATGGGGAGAAAAAGGCGGCCGGGCGTGGTGTTGGCCACCCACCCCCCTCATCTGCCGTGGCGGCTTTCATAGATGCCTGCGAACAGCACTTGCCCCAAAAGTCCGTTAAGGCTTTACGGGGGATCTTTTGTCTTTGTTTGTCAACCTGAAACTACTCACCACCCAGTGTCTATGGGACAGGTGACCCAATATGGCTCGAGCTAGGCTGAGTTGACCTGAGTCAATTGACCTCATTATATCCTAGCACCCCCATTGAAGGGCAGCTCGTGCCGGACAGGAATTCTGTCACGTGAATTGGGCAGCTCTTAGAAATGCAAGGGGTCATCCATTCATAAATACCCCACAGACCTGCAATGAACCTCTCCTTTCAAATGACCTCGGCGTTACGCAGTCGTTGAATGCTGTTGGGCAAATCACTGCACTGGTAATACGGGACGAAGTGTGTCGGGAGAATGTCGAGAGATTTCATGTGTTAATCGAGGCTTTGAAATATACAATGTTATTTGTCTCTACAAAGTCTCCCTGCTACTTTACGCGGTTATCCATAAATGGATCACCCTGTGAAACTGAATAAACTTTTCCTAAGACATATTTGCGAGTCAAAGATTAAGGTTTGCTTCATGACAAAATTAAATGTTATCATATGTTAAATTAAATATAATTTTTAAAAGTGTGTTCCCATAGACGAGATCGTCTGCGATTGACGCAGCTGGTGGCATATTCTGTTTCTGATGTAGAGAATTCAGGCCATGCCTCGATGCAAACCCGGCGTGGAAAATTCTGGCCGCAGCCCGAATTCGCAGCCAAATTAAGTCGATTTTTTTAGCCTACTGCCAGAATGGCAAATCGAGTTCAAACTCGGGTCATGTGTCCTATGGAAACAGGGTGGTAGGCTTAGAGTGACCACTTGTTCGAGTGTCTGTGTGTGTCTGACCCATGTTCCAACCTACAATAAAGCGTCCACGTGAATCAGAGAAATAAGCGGTTATATTGAATTGTCCACAGAACCCCGTGTCTGTGTGCAGAGGTGCCTGTGTGTTCATGTGCCTGAGTCCATGGGTTCCTGTATCAATGTGTCCATGTGTTTTCACGTGTGTTGTCCATCCATACACATGTCTGTATTTCCAAGCATGGACATGTCCGGCCACGTGCCTGCACAACTGTGTGTCTAAACGTGTGTGTGTCTATTGTCAGCACGTCTGTGTCTCTGCATGTGTCCGCACACCTGTGTCTCTACGCATCTCCGTGTGTCCGCGTGTCCGCGCGTCTGTGTTTCTGCGCATCGACGCGTCGCTGTGCGCTGCTTACCCGGACGTGAGAGGAGGTGGCGCGCCGCGTGACGTTTCCCCGGGGAGACTGTGGCGCAGACGCTGGCGTGGAGGACGCCGGCTGCCGGATTCTCTCCGAGTCCACCACCGACGCTCGCTCCCCGGGTCCCCACGGAATATGCCCAAATTCCTGTGCCGCATCCCCGCGCCGCACCCGCTCCGCCAGCTGCGATCCCTGGTGGGGAATCGCACAGTCGGCGGATCAATTTCAGGACGCGGGGTCAACGAGGAGAGGTCATCACGGACGATACTGTTTGTCATCGCCGCACTTCCCCGTGGCGTCCTTTCTTCTGCCAGATCCGGCAAGTGCAGCGTAGTTGCAATGTGACATCCAATTTGACCACGACCACCACAACTACCACCATCTGGGTGTGGCTCAAATGTCTGTCTTGGTAATAATGCTAAAATCCTGAAATTAATCCTAATAATCTTAAAATCATGATGTCCTCTCAATGTGAATTTCCTCAGATTACATTGATTAGTTTAATCGCCGTTTACATAGCGTGGGCAGACAACATTAAGTGAATACCCACATTCTATGTCGGTTTTCTGGATACAACTTGTTAATAGTTTGTTGATCATGGATAGCTGCCTGGCTTTGAATTCAGGATTCCAACAATACCAACTCAGTGCAATGACATGGCCATTATGAGCCAAACAAAATTAACAATGAACAAAATTACAGCCAAATGTCAATCCACTGCTGGTCGAGGGTCTCCCCCACACTGTGGCAGTCAAGGGTGGTTGTTTGACCATACTTCACCGTGCTGGTCCCGTACAGGTTGGTTAATCATCGGAGGGTTGGGGAACCAGCAACGGTTCGGATATCACTCGCCACTGATGTTAGCCGTGGCCGGGAATCGACTTTGGGTCACCAGTTTCGCAGCGCGACGGGACAACTCCGCTCTACCCCTTACAATTTAATATGCACACGAGTTTCCGTCACTCTGCATTATTTATCCTTTATAGAACATGACAGTGAAATGTCGCCTGTATGTAAGTTTTGTCTCATCAACTACATTGCCAATCGTCTGTAAGACCGGCAGCCAGGCGGGCGGGCGGGCGGGAAATTATGTGGATGAAATATCTACGGCCCGATGCAGATAAAAGCTTTCTCGTCATACTTGTCTCTATTTAGAGCTCTGAAGAGAGACTCTTGGGGGGGGGGGGCGGGGTAAGAGTTGCGATATTAAAGCACGCGACTTTACACAGGGAAAAGGACTGCAAGTGGTGCATCTGTCAGTCACCCCAATCAGAATCAGAATATTTATTTATCCTTGAGGAATCCGATGAGCTATAAAGCTCGTTTTCACAGATGTCCAGTTGGGGCCGGGTCAGAATGTCACAACAACCAACAGTACAAAAACGCGATAGGAGTGCAAAGTATAGAGAAGGTAAACAAATCACTTTAAAAAAGTCATACAAATAAAACTAAACAATGTTTTATCTTATCAGGTAAAGCATACGTACCGTATACCCATGCCGTACGTGTACTGTATGTGTACATACGTGTCAAACAATCAGCCTCACTGTCAATTGTTCGTATCCCTTGCTTACCCCAACTCCCCTTCCCCCCTCCCTTCGCGATCACTAACTCCATCATCCCTCACGTCCAAACTTCCCTACCCATCCATCCCATCCGATCATTATCAGCGACCACTCATTTGTCATCTTTTGCCATCGTTTATTTCACACACCATCATATGCATCACGCACTACCATCCTTCTCATGCACTCATCTCACGTCATCACACCGTTCTGCTGTACAAATTGCTAATACCATACCTGTCAACCCATACGGTTTACCCCGTATTCTTGTAACAGGGAAATTTAGTTTTTCAGGTCCATGCGGTGTACAGCCGTTTCAATAGGGGCACACACAAAATGTGTCTGTTTGCGTGTGTTTCTCCATTGTGATGGGACTTTGTAGGATGAACGTTGAGATTTAAAAAAAAAGATCACCCGTGTAGCCTTAACAGGCTGTAGGGGCAAGTGCTGTTCGCGAGCACCTATAAAGGCCGGAACGGTACACGAGGGGGTGGGTGGCCAGCACCACGCCCGACCGCCTTTGTCTCCCCAGTAGTGATGTTTACACACCGCGCCAGGTTACTCATTTGAGGCTGAGTCGACCTAGGGGAGGCCCAAAACCGGTTCAGATAATCGTCACTGGTGTTGGCCGTGAGCGGGAATCGAACCCGGGTCGCCGGGTTCACAGCGCAGCTTAGCGCTAACTGCTCCACCACCGCTCCCCATGATGACCAATACGGTCTGAATTGGTCTGTAAAAAGGTAGGGCACTGGTAAGGGGTTGGCAGGCATGTGATACTTCCCGTTCAGCGCCTTGATTCAAGACGCTGTATATGAATTAAAATAAGACGAGACGTGCGTGAGAGTGACCGCCGGTGCTTTACCCGGTCGGCAATGGGGCTGTCTCCTGTGTGCCTCCGGCTGACGGTGGTGAAGTTGGGCACCCCGGGCAGATTCATCCTGGGTAGAGACGTGACGTTCGGCTTCGTGAAATCCCCCGTGCTCGTGTTGTACTTCTTGGGTCTCTGCACACACGCAAAACGCCCGCAGGCAAGGCCAGTGCCGGATTAAGCTAGTGCGGGACCTGTAGCATATGTTATAAAGCGGCTCTAAATACAATAAAAACGCAAATATTAAAACACAAATTTCTAATTTCAATAGTAAAGTAATTGTATTTTTTCATTTGCTATACGACAAATCGATAACCTTAAACACCCAGTCGTTCATAAAAGTTGAAGGCATTATAGTACTATAGTAATAGAGCAAATGCAGAATCACTGAACCGGAATTGATAGCTTGAAAGCATTTAGCGCGGGGCCCTTGAAAGTGCGGGGCCCGTAGCTACTACATATGTAGTAGTAGCTACAACATATGTAGTAGCTACAATATATAACGACTTATTGTTGGTAGCTTAGCTGATTGGAGAATATAGAGTTTATTGATAACATTAAGGTAATTTATATTTTAGTTTTTTTTATTGGTTCACTATATAGTACTGTGAATAGCTCAGATGTGTAGGCCTTGACTTCAACATAGTCATTTCTGTGACCAGTCACTAGCTAATCACTCAGTTATTTCAATGCTAAATTCGCCTAGTTATTTCAATGCTAAATTCTCCTGTTTGATTTGTACTAAGTGCCTCGGTGAATGTGTATGCTCTGACTTTAACGTAGCTATTTCTGTGACCAGTTACAAGCTAATCACTCAGATATTTCAATGCTAAATTCTATGCTAATTCCTTTGTCAAGGGGTGCCTCTGCGGATGTGTATGCTTTAACTTAGCTATTTCAATGCTAAATTCTATGCGAATTCCTTTATCAAGGGGTGCCTCTGCGGATGTGTATGCTTTAACTTTTAACATAGCTATTTCTGTGACCAGTCACAAGCTAATCATTCAGCCATTCCAATGCTAAATTATATGCTAATTCCTTTGTCAAGGCACTTTGTTCCTCTCACACAGCTTAAAGGCCGTGATCTGAACGTGGCTCTTTCACTCCAGCGCTGTCCTACCAGACAGTCTCGTCCCTTCACCTGATGAAGGCCGCTTGTGTTGTGGCCGAAACGTCGTGAGAATATTATTGTGTTATTTTATTTTATCAATTTATTATTTTATTCTCATTCTACGTGACTTTACCGAAAGAACCAAAGAAGATGAATCATTGCAGTCACGAAAGCTTTAAATCGAAATTTAGTAGCTACAACATATGTAGTAGCTACTACATGTGTAGTCCTATACATGTGTAATAGCTACTACTACATATGTAGCTACTTTTGCTACTGAGATAATAATCCGGCACTGGGCAAGGCTCAGTCTTCAGCCGGGGTGTGTCCAGGACTCGGCAGGTTGCCAACTGGCGTCTCTCCCGAGGCCGCATGCGACTCTTAAATCCACTTGCGTACGGCTCTATCGTAGGGCAATAACGTAGAACATACGATGACAGTAGCAAATAATAATAAATTCAAGTTGTACGATAAGTTGTATGATATAATTATATATATGCACTTGGCTCATTGCAGAACTCATGGGTATTTCTTGCCTCTTGGTCTGTTACAGGATGGCCACCCCGAGTCAACGACGCGGACAATATTTGAGCACCTGGCACACCACATCAAGTATACCCCTCGCTATTGCCGTGGTTACTAGTCACGTGGCCATCCATTCCCGTCGACCGGCGGCCCGGAAGATATTTCCGCTCCCGGCACACCGCATCGAGTATACCTATCGCTGTGACTGTGGCCCCTAGTCCAGTGCTATCTATTCTTCCAGCGACCTGGAAAATATTCAGTGAACAATGTTACCCCGCTCACGTGACCGTCAGAGATGTTCAGATGTCAGCAAGAATTCGGAAGTAATAAATGTCTTTCCTCTGTTTTTATATTTCGGATGAAACGTCCACTGATGAGTGTTTGTGCACCAGCGTCCAATGTGCAAATCAATTTCTGCACTTATGAGAGAGAAAAAAAATAATTAAGAAATGTCCTGGGACGTACAGCAATTAAGCGCCGTCACATTGCGAGACCCCTGATCATGTTTTTGGAGGTTCTTGCAACCGCCCATCCCATGCGACACCACTCGTAATTGGCTGCTTCCCAGAGCGGACAGCCTCACCCGCGCGTATTAATAACACCCCGCTCTCTGGCTCCTTAATGAGATCACAGGGCAATATAATATCCTCCCTCCCCCCTCCACCCACGATTGCCCAATCGGCATGCAATGATTCATTCCACACTGCAATTCCAGGAATTGTCATCACGGTACGATTCAAGAATTTCATTATTTTCATGTTGCCCGTCGTTTTTTTCTCGTGAGTATAATCGTTTAAGTTTGTTCTGTCTGCTCTTGTACTGTCTTGGTTGAACTCTTTATCCGATCCGATTGATTGGTCTGTACTGTCTTGTGCGTGTGTTCTCTCTTGTCTGCTGTGCAATATTGGTACGTACTATCCTGTGTGTTCTTCTTGTCTGTACTAGCATGTCTGTGCTACCTTCCTCATTTCTTCCATCTCGTTTGATCAGCCTCGTTAGTTCTGATCATTAGCATAATGGATACAACATTTGCATGGACGTTGCTTGAATCTAAACGTATCCATTCTCATGCGTAAGGTTTAATGCCCGTAGCTTAATAGTGATATTTAATCAATGAGTACATGAATAATTACGTCTGCTGGCTCAAAATGAAAATATGACTCCGTATCTTGCAGTCATGATGAGACAAATGATTTACACACCTGCTTGACTATATTCGTCTTATACTGAACACATGCTTAGACAGGTGTTCAGGCATTAATTTGATCAATTCCGCAACAGAGATACAAAGCGGGCTTTTGATGAGACTCAGAAAGTCGATACTGGGAGCTCGAGATGATTAAACCGGCTTCTCTAGCGTAGTCAGTTGATGGTCTCCGCCCGGTGACTAATGATTGTACACACACACCAAAAACTCCCATCATATTACATTCGGTTTTGCAATTAATTTGCCTAAACTGCAGTTCTAAAAATGAAAATAAATATCGATATCTTTTATTGACCGTCATATGACAAGCAAACTCTTGCCAGAGTGTGTGGGAGAGTGGGCCCCCTCCTGTGTATAGGATGAGAAGGCCACTTGAAGGATTTTGCCGATGTCCTGTGAACATCACCGTCTGGGCCATCCTATGACATTTCTGAATGGGTTCTTCATTTCATGGCCCGACGGAAAATAATAATAATAATCACAATTGAATTAAATTGGGGCAAAAATACCAAACAATCTAAAATAAAAATTCTACATTCAAGAAAAGTAAAAAAACTAATCTAAGATTTGCATGCTTAAATGTTTCTTGACAACACTGATCCCACAGAAACTGATCCGCTGATGGCCTAAAACTGTTCATTTATTTTTACATGGCACAAGAAGAGGCTGTTATCTGTTTATCATTAATTCAATATCCACACCTCGCTGACAGCCACATTCATTTTGGTATTGACAAGAACACCAAAGCCTCGCAGGCATAACCCCTGAGTTCACTGCATACACATGCCTAGGCCTCCAAGTTGAAATTCCACCGGTGGCACCATCGTTACCACAGCGCAGTGCGGACTCGCCATCTGCACGTGCACATTTCAATGATTAACAGACATTGGAATTATTGGAAAGCCACACTGAGGGGTGAAAGCAGAGCTGAGGCCAGCATACTCGTAACCGCCTCTGCCCGATCGCCAGACACTTCAACCGCACAGGCACGACGTGAGTGCCGTACCAAACGAGTTTGAATGAAACTGCTGCAAGTTTTTTTTCGAGTTGTGTTTTGCAGAAATAAATAATTTTAACTCCCTCTACCGCCGCAGGGTCGGGCTACTCCACTCACCCTGATGGGCAACTTTTACAAATATCCACCACCACCACCACTGTAAATACCAAGCACGTGAATGGTTAACCGTCGCCTGCAAGAAATAAGCATCGCAACACGCCCGCGGATGTGTCATCGTGGGCATGTGGTGGCGTGGCAGCTGTCGAGTGCGCAGGCGGTGCAACTGCACCGGGGCCCACGCGTAAGAGGAGGGGCCCAGGCGCCGGGCTACGGAGAGGGGAGGAGGTGGTGGTGGTGGTGGGGGGAATTGGACAAGAAGGGGTTGCCCCATTTCATGCCTTGCACCGCAGGGCCCATGCCAACTACGCTGTGCCATTGTCACAGCGTGCGTCCTATAACGCCAGTAGCAGCACTTCGTCGCTGGAGGTCTACGGTGGGTGTTCTATGGATGGACTGGTCCCCGACACGGGAATGTGGATTTTTGTTTTCATCCAACGACTTCTAAAGACTGTTCAATGTTCGCTTGACCAGTGCGACTTTGATTTTGGATTCTGTACATTAATACTCATGTTCAGCCGTGTTCCAGTCCACTGCTGTTGGGGTGGGAGAAAGGGGAGGGTAAGGGGGGGGTAGCCCCCGGGGGAGGGGGGGGGGCTCTCGCTTCAGGTGCCATCACTGACGTTAGCGCTGGCTGTGGGTCTAACTCAGATCGCCAGGTGCAGTGCGCGAACCACTCCCCAACTTTGTACAAATACGCGTTGAGACTAAACAAGATCGACATCCATCGCGTACGTGAAACATCATCTGCTGTACGGTACTGCAATGCCGTCCACCTTCACCAAAAACGCACTGACCAGTGTGGTGAAGTATGGTGAAGTATCCCCCCAAAGACCCACACGGCCTGGGGATATGCCCGCGTGTAGCAGTGGATTGACAAAGGGCTGTACGGACCCTCGCGTGCACGCCTCGCCGCCCAGTGTCGAGATATTTTCAGGAGGCTTTCCTCCTGAATGAATGCTTGGTCGTTGCCCACGCTGTCGTGAGCGATGCGTGCGCTTTGATCGCCGTGGGAGGAAAGCGGCGGGCCCTGCAGGGACAGCCCACCACGCACACAGACCGTGCCGTGTGCTGCCACGCGTATCGCCTTCATTCGACTGTGTACTGACTTATGTGCACTGCCCCAGGTGTACTGTGGTGTGTACGTGTGTTGCCTTGTGTAGTGTGTACCATGATGTGTGTTCTGCCGTGTGTACTGTGCGTTATTCCACTGTTCTACGGTGTGTGCACTTCCCCAGTTAATACTGTGTGTATGTGTACTGATCCTGTATAGTGTGTACTATGCTATGCATTCTGCCGTGTGTACTGTGCCTGCACTGCCCCAGGTGTACCTGTGTGCGCGTGTGCTGTCCTGTGTAGTGTGCCATGATGTGTGTGTTCTGCCGTGTGTACTGTGCGTACAATCCCCCAGTTGTACTGTGTGTACGTGTGTTGCCTTGTGTAGTATGTACCATGATGTGTGTTCTGCCGTGTGTACTGTGCGTTATTCCACTGTTCTACGGTGTGTGCACTGCCCCAGGTGTACCTGTGTGTACGTGTGCTGCCCTGTGTACTACGCTATGAGTGCTGCCCCGGTTGTGCTGTGCGCATTGGCCCATCGTGTGCCGTGCGCGCCCGTGCCGTGGGTGCACCTCACCGTCACGCCGTCCAGCTTCTCGAAGCGGATGTTCTTCGACGGGAGGAGTATCTCCGACGTGGGCCTCTCGCGGCCCGGATTGGCCCACTTGCGCAGCCTCACCGACGACCTGGCTCCGGGGTCGAACTCGGGCACCCTCGGCGCCCGGTCCCCGTCGCCCTCGGCGGGAGCGGCGGCGGCGGCGGCGGCGCCTTCGAGGAGATCGAGGGACCGGGAGCCGCGCATGGACCTGATGCGCGACGGAGCAGCCCGCGCGTGGACGCACGCCCTGGCCAGCGCCTGCTGCAGCCTCGTGTTGTAGGGCACGTTCACGTAGGGTATCAGGATGGAGGAGCCTTGCGCCGTCGACGGCGGCCCGTCCGCTGAGCCTCGTCTCAGGACGATGCCGCCTTGAGGCCGAACCTCCTCGGGGCGCTCTGCGGGCTGGTGGCCATGCCCCGCGGGGTCGTCGGCGGAGGGGCCGAGACCCCCCGAGGAGACGGCGGAGGATCTCGGATGTTCTTCCGAGGAGTGTTGGGAGGGATGCGTGCGTCCTGAGGAGGGTGCGGACGTTATTCGATTTCCCGAGGCGCGGCGAGAGGTCCGGGCACCAGCGCTGTAGTCGGACGTTCCCAGGTCTTCCGAGGAGCCTTGGGAGCGATCCTTCCTCCCCGGGGAGCGGTTCGAGTGAGCGGCATCTTCTGAGGAGATGTTGTAGGTGCCTCTGCGTTCCAGGGAGTGTTTGGAGGTGTCTGGCTCTTGAGAGAAGCGGTTCGAACCGCTCACTTGTTCCGAGGAGCGGTCGGACGGATGCAAGTCTCCCTGTCGCTCAATCCCCTTGCCCTTGCAATCAGCCGTCGTCTCGAGCGGCCTCCCGTCCACACCCTGGGCATGGTCTCTGCGGGGCTTGGTCTTGAGGATTCCGTGGTGAGGAGCGGTGGGTCCATTGGGCTGCTGCTTCGGAGTCACGTTGCTCTCGGGCCCATTGCTGAGAAGCTCTCTGTTTGCCTGCCTCGACATTTCGACCAGAGGCGCTGTCTCTGTCTCGCGGGTGGACCGCGAGGCGACGGTGGGACTCTTGAGTGTCCGTGTGCGTCCGTGTGCGTCTTGATTGTACGTGTCCTTAGCCTTGCGTGTACGTGTGTTTGTATGTGTGTCTCTATGTGTGGGTAATAGTGTCTGTATGGTGCGTTTGTGTCTTTGTGTGTCTGTATGCACGTCTTTGTGCGATTACATGTGTGCGTGTCTGTATCTTTGTCTTTGTTTCTACGTACGTGTGTGTCTGTGGCAGTGTGTATGTGCACCTAGCCTGGCACAAGCGCCGTGATGACGTCGCCGCTACTTAGCGGCGAACGGTCGTTGTACGGTTGAGTGTGTGTCTGTGTATCTGTGCGTTTGTGTGTCTGTGTATGTGCGTCTCTGTTTTGTTTTGTGTTTGTGTGTATGTGTGTTTGTGTGCGCCAATGTGTGTTAGTCGTGTGTGTGTGTATCCACGTGTGTGTGTGTCTACGCTACCGCTACAACAGGAGTAGTCGTAATTCATTCACTGGGCTTCCACAATCATCTTCTTGTGGGGTGGGAGGAGGTTGCCACCACCAGGAAGGTTTTAACTGCCCAAGACAAACACGTAAAAACATCAGACGATGTAATCATGCAGGCGCAATTTCGAAGTAAACACGCATTCCATTACTAAACAGGCATTCCATCACGCGAACTCCAATTATCCTCCCACTCAGCGGCGTTTGGCTGCTGGCCATCGAACAAAGACGGTTACTGCATCACGGGCTTTCAGATGCGCTTCTGCGGCCGTCTGGAACGCTCTTGCTTCCGATATTGGGAAGCAACCGGAGCTGTTCACTTTTAAGTCTAGATTGACAAATTTCATTTCTGTAGAACTGCTGTTTGTGTTTAATTTGTTGTCCTTCCCCCTGCATCTCCGATTAGCGCGATTGGCTAAGTACGGTACGAAAGAAGATCAACATACATACATAAATACATAGACTCGCACAGAGGCCCATAGACTCACACGGCAACCCATAGACTCGCACAGAGATCCATGGACTCACACAGAGACCTACAGTTCGTTGTCCTTCTCCCCGAACCTCCGATTACGGTAGCACGGTTGGCTACATACGGTGCGAAAGAAGTTAATCGTACATACAGTTCCGTGCTGAATTGCTGCATGTTCTTGGTCTGGAGCCACGCGCCTCTACAACCACCACCACCGTCAACTCTTTAAAACCCCACCCGCAACATTCCTAGGCCAGATAAAGCATGTTTGTGAAATACAATAATTGACGACGGCAGTGGGGACCCACTCTCACGCGTGTCCGTACAACACGTGGAGGAAAAGAGTGTGCGGATATTTTCTAGATATTTGCAATAAGCAGGTAGTCCACTCAGCTACTCCAATACAACCACGCGTACCCTGGTGAAATGAGTGAACTACTCTACACAGTTACCCCAATACAACCACGCATACCCTGGTGGAACAAGCGGGCTACTCCACTCAGCTACCCCAATACAACCACGCATACCCTGGTGGAACAAGCGGACTACTCCACTCAGCTACCCCAATACAACCACGCGTACCCTGGTGGAACAAGTGGACTACTCTACACAGCTATCACAATACAACCACGTGTACTCTGGTGGAACAAGTGGACTACTCCACTCAGCTACCACAATACAACCACGCGTGCCCTGGTGGAACAAGCGGATTACTCTACACAGTTACCCCAATACAACCACGCATACTCTGGTGGAACAAGCGGACTACACTCAGCTACCCCAATACAACCGCGTATACTCTGGTGAAACAAGCGGACTACTCCACTCAGCTACCACAATACAACCACGCGTACCCTGGTGGAACAAGCGGACTACACTCAGCTACCCCAATACAACCGCGTATACTCTGGTGAAACAAGCGGACTACTCCACTCAGCTACCACAATACAACCACGCGTACCCTGGTGGAACAAGTGGACTACTCTACACAGCTATCACAATACAACCACGTGTACTCTGGTGGAACAAGCGGACTACTCCACTCAGCTACCCCAATACAACCACGTATACTCTGGTGGAACAAGCGGACTACACTCAGCTACCCCAATACAACCGCGTATACTCTGGTGAAACAAGCGGACTACTCCACTCAGCTACCACAATACAACCACGCGTACCCTGGTGGAACAAGCGGGCTACTCCACTCAGCTACCCCAATACAACCACGCGTACCCTGGTGGAACAAGCGGACTACTCCACTCAGCTACCCCAATACAACCACGCGTGCCCTGGTGGAACAAGCGGATTACTCTACACAGTTACCCCAATACAACCACGCATACTCTGGTGGAACAAGCGGACTACTCCACTCAGCTACCACTCTAGATGCCGTGGAGTGGCTAGTGACCTTCAACAAAATCGTAGCCCATTGCTGCTGCTGCTGCTGCTGCTTTGTTTACACGTTGAGCGAAAATAAAAGATTTACTACCCACCTTTACATCACGGTGTGTTGATGATGAACAGTAGCATCTGCAGATCGCGTTGTCTCCACAATTCAAGCGTGTTTAATTAAGAAGCAGCTGATGCAGTGAGGGCCTTTTAAACGGTGGCACTTTTTTCGATTTTTGTTGCTGTTGTATAAAGACGGCGAAATTAGCTCTTGCCTATTGACTTTTTATTTTAACTGCGTGGGCCCCATGAGCCACTTAACTTTTAGTTTGTGGCCGTCACGAAAGCCGGCCATACATTTCGTCGATGACGCTGCGGAATGGGAGACGTCTCGCCACCACCTTGTATTCGTATTCGTGAATTATCCCGTCTTCTACAAGCAGGAACCGCTCATTCACCCGTACATCACCATCATCATAATTCTTCTTCTTAAAAAAATTGCGACGAGTCAACGGTGTTGAAGGCCCTGGCAGGACAGGACGAATTAGACCACAGCTGCGTTTCTGGCGAATGTGCGCCTTTGTACCTGACAAGTGTTCAAGCGTAGTTTCAGTTGGGTGTCGCTTGCCTCGCCAAGCACTGTTTGGCCTTGGGCTTCAAATGGGTGTGTAAAATTAAATGACTGTCGAAACAGGAGTCAGTGCTAGGTCGGCATGCAACGAAAACTGAAAGAATGTCAGCCCCGCCTAGTCAGGCTGCCGAGTGTTAAATTACTGTACAGGTACGGGCATTTAACACGGTCTACCAAAACGCATGCACTGCCCTTAAAAGGAAACACACACACACGAACACACGCACGACACATATTTATAGAATGGGTGACGTTTCAGGCAAATGTCCCTTCTTCCTCGCCGAGAGATGATCTGGAAACTGTGCAGAGCAATCGGCCAGGTAGCTCAGTGGGAGAGCGAGAGGCTCGACATTGGAAGGTTGCGAATTAAAATCCCTGGTTGTGGGCCGACGCAGCCCATCATCCCTCCGGGAGTGTTGGGGTAGGGGGTCGATAAAATAACTACTATTTTGTGAGGACGTCAACAGTGATTAATTATCATATGGAGATACTCGCCCCTGCCATATAACTGCTTTTGTATTTAGTTTGTTGTCCTTCCCCTGCACCTCCCATTAGCACGGTTGGCTACGTACGATACGAAAGAAGTTCAACATACATATAACTGAGACGATAATTTACCTACACTCGAGGGTACAGAGTTTAATCATGTGTGGCTGAAACCCCGATTCGAATTCAGCCTCTTAGAGGTGCTGTATATATATAATAAAGGGTGTTTTAGTTAACATTGTGCAATGTTGACAAATGGCATTCCACAACACGTAGCCACGACAGTGCTTAAACACATGAATCATTCGAATATTTTTAAGAACACCATCGCGGTGAAGGGAGGGACGTTGGTTCCTGGTGAGTTTGATTTCCGGTCACGGCTAACATCAGTGATCGAGTGGTAACTGAACCGATCACGGGCCACCCCTGCCACCCCCACGCCACCTTAATCTTACTTGCACTGTCCAGCGTGCTGAAGTATGGTCAAACAACATCAATGGGTATGTGAGCATAGCCCATGACCAAAATCGCCGATCTCATCGTGTCTTACATAGCGCCTTACTGCAAGGCACTTTACAACAGCTATGCAATTGTACATAAGATGATGGTGGTTGAAAGACATCGTACGCTCGAGCCTGGCCAGTGCATGGATGAGCCATCGCCGTGCACAACAGGTTGTTATCGGCTGCGGAGATACGCGTAGCGCAGCAGACGGACAGTGCAGCAAAATCTCTCTCTGCCCCCCCATACTCCACACCTTCAGCAATCTGCACCAATGACCAGCGTGGTGAAGTGCGGCCACACAACCCACAATGATTGGCACGGCGCGGGGAGGAGGCGTTCAACCAGCGGTGGATTGACAATGGAAACCCGTGGGCACTTCTTGTACACGTACACCTGAAAGAATAGGAAGATGCTTACTCACGCTATGTTTACACACACCCGAATTCCGAACATTCCACCGTGCAGATGAGTGAGTGAGCAAGCTGCATCGGTATGTACAGTGAAGGAAACAAGTATTTGATTCCATGCTGATTTTGTATGTTTGCCCACTGACAAAGAAATGATCATCCTATAATTTTAATGGTAGGTTTATTTGAACAGTGAGAGACAGAATAACAACAAAATCCAGAAAAAGGCATGTCAAAAATGTTATAAATTGATTTGCATTTTAATGAGGGAAATATGTATTTGGCCCCCTCTCAATCAGAAAGATTTCTGGCTCCCAGGTGTCTTTTATACAGGTAACGAGCTGAGATTAGGAGCACACTCTAAAAGGGAGTGCTCCTAATCTCGGTTTGTTACCTGTATAAAAGACACCTGTCCACAAAAGCAATCAATCAATCAATCAGATTCCAAACTCTCCACCATGGCCAAGACCAAAGAGCTCTCCAAGGATGTCAGGGACAAGATTGTAGACCTACACAAGGCTGGAATGTGCTACAAGACCATTGCCAAGCAGCTTGGTGAGAAGGTGACAACAGTTGGTGTGATTATTCGCAAATGGAAGAAACACAAAAGAACTGTCAATCTCCCTCGGCCTGGGGCTCCATGCAAGATCTCACCTCGTGGAGTTGCAATGATCATGAGAACGGTGAGGAATCAGCCCAGAACTACACGGGAGGATCTTGTCAATGATCTCAAGGCAGCTGGGACCATAGTCACCAAGAAAACAATTGGTAACACACTACGCCGTGAAGGACTGAAATCCTGCAGCGCCCGCAAGGTCCCCCTGCTCAAGAAAGCACATATACATGCCCGTCTGAAGTTTGCCAATGAACATCTGAATGATTCAGAGGACAACTGGGTGAAAGTGTTGTGGTCAGATGAGACCAAAATGGAGCTCTTTGGCATCAACTCAACTCGCCGTGTTTGGAGGAGGAGGAATACTGCCTATGACCCCAAGAACACCATCCCCACCGTCAAACATGGAGGTGGAAACATTATGCTTTGGGGGTGTTTTTCTGCTAAGGGGACAGGACAACTTCACCGCATCAAAGGGACCATCGACGGGGCCATGTACCGTCAAATCTTGGGTGAGAACCTCCTTCCCTCAGCCAGGGCATTGAAAATGGGTCGTGGATGGGTATTCCAGCATGACAATGACCCAAAACACACGGCCAAGGCAACAAAGGAGTGGCTCAAGAAGAAGCACATTAAGGTCCTGGAGTGGCCTAGCCAGTCTCCAGACCTTAATCCCATAGAAAATCTGTGGAGGGAGCCGAAGGTTCGAGTTGCCAAACGTCAGCCTCGAAACCTTAATGACTTGGAGAAGATCTGCAAAGAGGAGTGGGACAAAATCCCTCCTGAGATGTGTGCAAACCTGGTGGCCAACTACAAAAAACGTCTGACCTCTGTGATTGCCAACAAGGGTTTTGCCACCAAGTACTAAGTCATGTTTTGCAGAGGGGTCAAATACTTATTTCCGTCATTAAAATGCAAATAAATTTATAACATTTTTGACATGCGTTTTTCTGGATTTTTTTGTTGTTATTCTGTCTCTCACTGTTCAAATAAACCTACCATTTAAATTATAGATTGATAATTTCTTTGTCAGTGGGCAAACGTACAAAATCAGCAGGGGATCAAATACTTTTTTCCCTCACTGAATGTATGTAGGTTGAACTGATTTCGCACTCACCGCACGTAGCCCAACTGCGCTAACCGGAGGTGCGGCGTGAACGTGGCATTGGGGCGCTAGTAGCCAAAACATCACTGCAATGAATTTATCAGTTTCAGTGTCAGCTGTGTTTACAGAGCACTTGCAAAGAATTACGATTTCTCGCCGATAAGACAACGTAAAAAAAAAATCCGCGAGCCACCCTGTTCTGATCACGCCTGTTCTGACCGCCCACAAGGTAAAACCTGTTCACGTACACCACTCTGACAATCCACTGCTGGTTCATGGCTTTCTCCTGCTGCGTCAGTCGTGGTGCATTGTTTGACCATGCTTCACCCACGCAGGTCAGTGCAGGTTGGTGAATCGGGGGGGGGGGGGTTGGGGAACCACGACCGGTTTCGGATATCACTCGCCACTGATGTTGAGCCGTGGCCGGGAATCGAACTCGGGTGACCAGTTTCCCAGCACAGCGGGGAGACGAGTTTCCGTGGGATCCCAGGACTCGTTCAGAATTCCGATATCACTCGTCGCTGGTGGTAGCCGTGACCGGGAAGTAAGCTCGCGTTACTGGGAACATCGCGCGGGTTCGCTAGCCATTATGTTACCGCTCGCCTGATGATGATGATGGCGACGATGATGTAAGGCATATTGGGTCATGATGAGCGATGGGTGAGGTCTCCCCGCTGAGAGAATGGTATATGTTATCTCTGATCTTAGAGCTGCTAAGGCAGGTCGTGTCTCGTTCCATTGTGAATCTGATTTACCTTAAACGTGGGCACAGACTTGAATATCGCCATTTCCCCTTCTCCTGCCTCCCCCCCCCACCACGTTCCTTGGCGCATTACATAATCACTCGGGGTTGAAACGATGCACCATCCAAGATTCATGCAGGCACTACCCAGGCTCAAAACCGAACTCGGGTGCATTCTAGGTCTTAGGCAATTTATGTCATCGGCAATTGATGGTACATACTATATATATACACACACACGTGGCGCGTGCCTTTCTTGGAGTCAGCAAGACGCCTGGCTCGGACATCGAGCTCATCTCCCAGAGGCAGCGTAATGAGCCACAGAGGCTCTTGAGTGGCTTTGGCGCCGTTCGAGAGGGATGATGTAAAATAGAATTCAGTGTCTCTGCTGCGCATCACGCTGAGGTGTACAACACACACGCGCGCGTGCACATTGGCACACACACACGTATCGAATGCCCGCCCCCGTGTTGTCTTTCACAGACTGTTGAGGCAAGTGCTGTTAGCGACCATCTATTACCAGCCGGCGAGGCGCACTAGGAAGTGGTGGAGTGGCTGCTACCACCAGAGGTAGGTCCAAAGGAGGGGGGAAAGGGGCCGATGAGGGAAGGCCGGAACGGCACACGAGGGGGTGGGTGGCCAGCACCACGCCCGACCGCCTTTGTCTCCCCAGTTGCAATGCTTACACACCGCACCAGGTACTCATTTGAGGCTGAGCAGACCTAGGGGAGGCCCAGGACCGGTTCAGATAATCGTCACTGGTGTTGGCCCCGAGCGGGAATCGAACCAGGGTCGCCAGGTTCGTAGCACAGCGCGCGCTAACCGCAACGCCACCGCTCCCCACATTGATGTGTAGTGGAGTACGAAGGTGCGTTGTGGAAACAGCGTGATTACATGATCACACAGACAGTACGGGTTATCTTGGGTCAGCCTGTAGCGAAGGCAAATACAGTGCAGGTTATGTTGGGGCAATTAAGCTGGGGTAGCCGTGGACGGCTGTGATTGGTTGGTGCTGTTGCCGGGGCTGGAGAGGCGTCTAAAGGTCTGGAGGAGAAACACGTGACGGTCACGCGGAGTGCCGTTGGGACGCGGGTTAATTAATTGGGGGTCTAATGAGAGCGGGTATAAGAGCGGGAGTCGGAGTCAACAGAGGGGAGTTGAGTTGAAGGAGTCGAGCTTGGAGATCGGTTGAAGTTGGAGGGCTTAGGGGAGCTGGAGTGAAGAGTTGGAGGTTGGAGTTGCTGAGTGCAAAGACGCTGTGTGTGAAGACGCTGTGTGCAAAGACACTGTGTGTGAAGACGCTGTGTGTGAAGACGCTGTGTGCGAAGACGCTGAGTGCGGAGTCG